GTATTTTAATTAGGGCTGTCAAGGAATTAAAAAAATAAATCGCAATTAATCGCTCTGTTAATAATGCCATTTATTTACATATTTTTGGATGTTTTCTACATTTTCAAATATATTGATTTCAATTACAACACAGAACACAGTGTACAGTGCTCTTTATAATTTTTATTACAAATATTTGCACTGTAAAATGTAAGAAATATTTTTCAATTCACCTAATACAAGTACTGCAGTGCAATCTCTCTTTGGCCTGGTCTACACTACGAGTTTAGGTCGAATTTAGCAGCATTAAATTGAATTAACCCTGCACCCGTCTCACAATGAAGCCATTTTTGTCGACATAAAGGGCTCTTAAAATCGATTTCTGTACTCCTCCCCGACAAGGGGAGTAGCACTGAAATCGACATTGCCGGTTCGAATTAGGGTTAGCGTGGACGCAATTCGACGGTATTGGTCTCCGGGAGCTATCCCACAGTGCACCATTGTGACCACTCTGGACAGCAATCTGAACTCGATGCACTGGCCAGGTAGACAGGAAAAGCCCCGTGAATTTTTGAATTTCATTTCCTGTTTCCCCAGCGTGCAGAGTTGATCAGCACAGGTAACCATGCAGAGCTCATCAGCACAGGTGACCATGCAGTCCCAGAATCGAAAAAGAGCTCCAACATGGACCGTATGGGAGGTACTGGATCTGATCGCTGTATGGGGAGACGAATCCGTGCTATCAGAATTCCATTCCAAAAGACGGAATGCCAAAACATTTAAAAAAAATCTCCAAGGCCGTGATGGACAGACTATAGGCTGAGCAAGTGCAGAATGGTGGTTCACTCTACTTCCCTGTAAGCCAACCGCCCTCCCCTCTTTGATCTCTGCTTGCAGAGGCAATAAAGTCAGTGTTTCAAATTCATGCATTCTTTATTACTTCATCACACAAATGGGGGGATAACTGCCAAGGTAGCCCGGGAGGGGTGAGGGAGGAGGGAAGCAACGGGTGGGGTTGTGGTATGGGCACCCCCTAGAATGGCATGCAGCTCATCATTTCTGCGGGATGTCTGGGGCTCTGACCCGGAGCGGCGGCTTGCATCTGTGGTTCTTTAGTAGGCTTGCCTGATATTCTAGGCAGCACTGAATCTCTATTAGACAAAACTTAAAGAAGAGAATGACCTGGGGAGTCATTCCCATTTTTGTCTAGGCGCCCCCGACCGATCTCACGGAGGCCGGCCAGGAGCACCCATGACAGCAGCAGATAGTACAGTATGACTGGTAACCATCTTTGCCAACTTGCAAAGCAGCAGACGGTACAGTATGACTGGTAACAGTCTTTGCTAACTTGCAAAGGCAAGGAGCTGCAGCTGCTGCTGTGTAGCACTGTAGTACTGCATCTGTCAGCAGCATCCAGTAGACGTACGGTGACAGTGGGGAAAAAAGGCTGAACGGGCTCCATGCTTGCCGTGCTATGGCATCTGCTCGGGCAATCCAGGGAAAAGGGCGCAAAATGATTGTCTGCCGTTGCTTTCATGGAGGGGGGGTTGACGGAGGACATTTACCCATAACCACCCGTGACAAATTTTTGGCCCCATCAGGCATTGGGAGTTCAACCCAGAATTCCAATGGGCAGTGGGGACTGTGGGATAGCTACCACAGTGCACCGCTCCGAAAGTCGACGCTTGCCACGGTTCTATGGACGCACACCGCCGAATTAATGTGCTTAGTGTGGACGCATGCACTTGACTTTATACAATCTGTTCCCAAAAATCGACTTCTGTAAAATCGGAGTAATTTCATAGTGTAGACATACCCTTTATCATAAAAGTTGAACTTACAAATGTAGAACTATGTACAAAAAATAACTGCACTCAAAAATAAAACCATGTAAAACTTTAAAGCCTACAAGTCCACTCTGTCCCACTTCTTGGTCAGTCAATTGCTCAGACAAACCAGTTTGTTTACACTTGCAGGAGATAATGCTACTCACTTCTCATTTTCAGGTGACATTGTAATTAAGAACAGGTATTTGCATGGCACTGTTGTAGCTGGCATCGCAAGATATTTCCGTCCTAAAGATTCATATGTCCCTTTATGCTTCAACCACCATTCCAGAGGACATGCATCCATGCTGATGATGGGTTCTGCTCGATAACGATCCAAAGTAGTGCGGACCGATGCGTGTTCATTTTCATCATCTGAGTCAGATGCAACCAGCAGAAGGCTGATTTTTTTTTTTCTTTGGTGGTTGAGGTTCTGTAGTTTCTGCATCGGAGTGTTGCTCTTTTAAGACTTCTGAAAGCATGCTCCACACCCCGTCCCTTTCAGGTTTTTGGAAGGCACTTCAGATTTTTAAACCTTGGGTCGAATACTGTAGCCATCTTTAGAAATCTCACATTGGTACTTTCTTTGTGTTTTGTCAAAACTGCAGTGAAAGTGTTCTTAAAATGAACAACATGCGCTGGGTCATCGTCCAAGACTGCTATAACATGAAATATATGGCAGAATGCAGGTAAAACAGAGCAGGAGACATACAATTTCCCCCAAGGAGTTCAGTCACAAATTTAATTAATGCATTTTTTTTAACATAACATAATCAGCATGGAAGCATGTCCTCTGGAATGGTGGCCAAAGCATGAAGGGGCATACGAATGTTTAGCATATCCGGCACGTAAATACCTTGCAATGCTGGCTATAAAAGTGCCATGCGAATACCTGTTCTCACTTTCAGGTGACATTGTCAATAAGAAGCAGGCAGCATTATCTCCCATAAATGTAAAGAAACTTGTTTGTCTTAACGATTGGCTGAACAAGAAGTAGATTGAGTGGACTTACAGACTCTAAAGTTTTACACTGTTTTGTTTTTGAGTGCAGTTATGTAACAAACAATTTCTACATTTGTAAATTGCACTTTCACGATAAAGAGATTGCACTACAGTACTTGTATGAGGTGAATTGAAAAACTTTTTCTTTTGTTTGCCATTTTTACAGTGCAAATATTTGTAATAAATATAAAGTGAGTACGTACACTTTGCTTTCTGTGTTGTAATTGAAATGTATAAAAACATCCAAAAATATTTAATTTCAATTGGTAGTCGAGGGTTTAACAGTTTAATTAAAACTGTGATTAATCGCGATTTATTTTTTGAGTTAATCGCGTGAGTTAACTGCGATTAATCGACAGCCCTAATTTTAATCATTGTATCTAATGACAAAAAAATTAAATCACTAAAGAGTTTTGTAAAGTCTCTTAAATATAATACTCAAATAAGTAAGAAACAGAGAGTTAACAACATCTTGACAGTGATGTAGAATAAGGCAAAGGAAATGAAGTGCATGACCATATGGCAAAGACTTTCAGAGTTGTCTAAAGTCTGATATTTATTTTTCTTCATTGTTGTTAATTTCAGTTACTTAACAACCATGAATGTCTCCAGCCTTTGTTACATTTCTTTTGTCTTAATCCTATTGTCACCTTGAGACTGAACCTCTTGCTGATGTTTATCAGTAAAGTGGCAACTCTCCATGCGTGAAGAAACACCATCTCGATTCAAAGGGCCTCATCCTGTGAGGTGCTGAGGTCCCTGAATTCCCAGTGAATTCAGTGGGGGCTGATGGTGCTCACCACCTTTCAGGTTTGCATGACTGAACCTTAATTTGTAAATTCTACATATTTCTCCCCTCCCCCCCCCCCCCCCGCTTTTATACTCTACCTAATACTCTCTTTTCCAGCTGCTCTTCTGTCTTCTCTTTTCTGTAAAATAGTTTCCGTGAGCTACCAACAAATAAATAAACCCTTGTCATCTGTGTTGTCCACATCTTGGGGGTGGAGACAAGAGAAGCTTATTAGAGGAAAATACTAACTAATTCTCTTACCAGATAAAAAACTTTCATCTTTTACCTCACTAATTCTCAGGACCTTGCTAGCTCAGGACCTTGCTTTGTGCAACTCCTATAGAACTTCCTTGGCTCATGTGAACATAGCTGACTCACTCTTCCTCTCACAGACTTCTTGGTGTCAACATACTCAGTGCAGATGGCTCTGTTTAAGAGTTCTGAGTGCCAAAAACATGGGCCTAATTGCATGTGAAGCTGACACTGTTTGGAATTCACGAGTGTGCTGCCAGCTTCTCCCTTTGACACACATTCTAGGAGTTTCTTTATATTTTTTAATAAATCTGACATTCCTTGTATACATAATACACTTCCAAACAGAGAGTGAGTATGGTATCATTTCAACTAACCTATAGGTTTTAAACGTAGGACTTGTCTGTTCCTTGTCCTTTTGTGAATATATGCAGTTTCTGGCGCATATCCTAGCAAATGTAACAATCAGGTTTGTCTCTAAATAGAATGCAAACATTGCACTGGCAGTGTAACAGGTTGAAACGTTCTTTCCCTTTATAAATGTAGATCACTACTTCAATCAGATCCCCACCTGAGATTATAATGATTTTAGGGGATTGGAAATGGGATATGGAGCTTTTCCCTTTTTGATCATTGGCTCAGATATGATCCAGGTCAGTAGCAAATGACGGTCATGTTTGGTGATCTCAGTCTCCAGTTGCGACATTATGGAAAACCTTGCTTGGCAGTCTCAGCAAAGAGGCTATGGATGAATTGGCACCAAGACTAAAGTGATCTGGTTTTCAATGGTGGTTCATTCCATCGCTGAATGGAGACACATTGTTATCTATTGTTACGCAGTGTCAGGTGAGTGTTAACGCTAGCTGCTGCTGTATTGGTATTCAGTTTCCAGAGCTGATCTGATGTTTCTTACTAAATTCATTTAAAGCAGTTGCATTTGGTAGTTTGAAATAAATCAATGGCAATATCAGCTTTTAAGGAGTATCACAAATTTTAAAACAGCCACTTTCTTAAACATTTATGCTTTGTGCCAGGCTATAGTCTCAGGATTTGGATAATGTATTCAAAACATCCTTCCTGTAGCTTAAGAGATGCTGCAAGTGATGCTGTTGCTGCAATGTTAAATTTAGAACTGCACTCTCTTGCACCAGGTGATGGAATTTTACTGCCAATCTTGTGAGACAGCCATGTGCCGGGAATGTACAGAGGGAGAACATGCAGAACACCCCACTGTACCTCTCAAGGATGTGGTAGAACAACACAAGGCTTCACTACAAGTCCAGCTGGATGCGGTCAACAAAAGGTACACAAGTTATTCTGGCTCCACCATGACATACTTCTGTGCATTAGGTGATTGGTCAAGCTATTATTGAAACTGCTGTCTTAATCAGTTCACACTGCCCCTTGTGGAACTGTTAAGTCATCCAACAGGATCCCCTGACTTGTTTTCCTTTACAATGTAGTTTTGACTAACATTTTTGAATATTAATATTTTAGCAATTTTTTTAAATGAACTTGGTCATCACGAAGGTGATGGACCAAATACACTCGATTCCCCTGGTCACAGAGTAGGAAGCTGCTTATACAAGCTTCTATATACAGCTCTCAATGTTTACCTCACTGTTCCCGTCCTGGATCCCTTGAGGAGAGAGAAAGCATAATAATCCTGCTCAGTTGTATGGTGTGTTACTCATTTAGTTGAACTAAGATTGTAAGAAAAAATACTTTTAAAAGTCCCAGTTCTTAAGAAGATGGAAAGAGTCTGAGTCTTACGGGTAGAACACTGGCCTGGAACTCAAGAGAACTGGGTTCAGTTCCCAGCATAACTACGAACTTCCTGTGTTACATTGGGCAACTGTGCATCAGTCCTCCACCTGTAAAACGGGAGTAATACTTACCTGCCTCACAGAGATGTGGTTGGTTGTGAGGAAAAAAATCTATTAATGACTGTGATGCACTTCAATACAATAGAACCTCAGATACAAACTGACTGGCCAACCACACACCTTGTTTGGAACCAGACGTATGCAATCAGACAGCAGCAGAGACCGACCCCCTCCAAAAAAAGGCAAATACAGTACAGTGCTGTGTTAAATGTAAACTACCAAAAAAAAAAAAAAAAGGAAAGCTTTTAAAATTTGACAAGATGAGGAAACTGTTAATGTGCTTGTTTAACTTAAATGAATATGGTTAAAAGCAGCATTTTTCTTCAGTAGAGTAAAGTTTCAAAGCTGTATTAAGTCAAAAGTTTACAGCTGAACATTGAAAGAACAACCACAATGTTTCATTCATATTTACAAACATTTCAAAGTTAAGAACAACCTCCATTCCTGAGGTGTTCCTAATTCTGAGGTTCTTCTGTACTACAGAGAAGAGGATCAAAAAAATAGCTAGGTATCTTCTGCATGGTAGAGGCCAGGTCTTGTTTATGCACCCTAAGGTACATACCTTCCAAGGAAGGGGTGTAGAATGCTGGGGAGAAAAATATTTGGTATGCGCATTTAGACACAGAACACATGAATGATACTTGATCTTTAAAAATATATTAGAACTTTTTGGGAAATAGTGAAAGATGTGGGAAAGTTCCAGTTTCCCCCTTCCCCACCCCTACAGAAGCATGAATGACTGTCTATCCTTAAAAGTCCTCCTTGGTGGAACTCCATCAGGTTCAATGGAGTTCCACCAGAGAGGATTTTGGCCCTAGAATGTCATTGATAATGCACCAAACTTTTGGTTTTGTTTTAAAAAGGTTAAACGACTATACTGTAAGTAGGGGTGCCAGGAGTGGCGCCAGGGTTTTTGGCGCCCTAGACGGGAGTCCTTCCGCGCTCCCGATCGTTGTCGGCAATTCTGCGGCGGGGGGGTCCTTCTGCGCTCCCGGTCTTTGGGGCACTTTGGCGGCGGGTCCCGAAGCAAGTGAAGGACCCGCCGAAGACCCAGAGCGCAGAAGGACCCTCCGCCACCGAATTGCCGCCAAGGGCGGCAAAATGCCGCCCCCCCAAATCCTGGTGCCCTAGGCGACCGCCTAGGTCGCCTAAATGGAAGCGCCAGCCCTGAGGGTTGCCAACCTTCCAGGATTGTCCTGGAATTTCCAGGAATTAAAGATGAATCTTTAATGTCATGTAATGAAACCTCAGGAATACATCCAACCCAAATTGGCAACCCTAACTGTAATAAAAGGAGCAGAATTCTGTTGTTGAAAAATACTGCCTTTAAAAACCACATGGGAATGGGATTGTTTCATCACAGGATTTTAGGAACAAGGGACAAGACAATGTTTTTTTGAGATGCCAATCATTGTAATTTTATTTCCTCCACAGACTTCCAGAGATCGATTCTGCACTTCACTTCATATCTGAAATTATACGTCAGTTAGCCAACCAAAAGGCTAGCATTGTAGATGACATTCATTCCACTTTTGATGAACTACAGAAGACTTTAAATGTGCGAAAGAGTGTGTTGCTTATGGAACTGGAAGTGAATTATGGCCTTAAACACAAAGTAAGAGATGTGTTCTTTTTCCAGTGACAGTTATTAATTTAATAAGCCAATTCTTATAAGGGTGCATGATGCCAGCAGGTCAAATAATTGTCCAGCTTTGCTGAAAGGAGGACAGGAGACACTGGATGTGGTTTAATGAGGCTGCAACTTTATTCTTAACTGTCTGGGAATACCCATCAGGTAAAAGCATACCATGCAGGTAATTCCATGATCATTTCAATTTATACCCAGGGGCTTCTATCAGCCCACCCTCTGCTGGAACCTTACCCTCTCTTCTGCTCCCACTCCACGAATGAGGGTTAAGGTAGGCTATAAAAGAAGTGGGGTGTTGGGTCCCTGTTGTGTCATTCATAAGAGCCTCAACCCCCCATTTCTGCTCTTAACAAATACCTCCTTTAAATCCTTTACCAGTCCATTTATCTGATCACTGTATCCCTTCCCTATAGAGTAGCACCCCATGTGAGCATAATGAGTTGCAACATCATAGCCTAACTCCTGTTCTGTGTTCACTCGCAGCTAACTTCCCCCTCCCACTCCCCCCAACCCACTGTGGGGAAGGCAAACACCCCGTCCCCCTGGCACACACACACATACTTTGCCTAGGCCAATCTGGCAGTGAGGGAAGAATTCCTTCCCAGCTCCCCCCTCCCCCCGAGAAAAAAAACAACTAGCGCAGTGTTCACAGTGAATCCTGACCAAACCTGGTATTTTGCCACTTCCATGGGTGGGAAGGTGGGTACTGCTCCACTTGGTCCTGGTAAAAGAGGACTTCTCCTACTCAGTATGTACTTATATAATTTCCCCTCTCTTCTGGTCAATGGGGGGGAATGGGTCCGTGTCCTCACACTGACCTGCTTTGAGGCTGCAAAATCACTCTATCTCTTTCTGTCGCTCAAAGAGGTACATACCTTTCTCCAGCAAGCTAGACAATGGCCCTCCACCACTTAGTGTGCAATGCAGCCATTATGTCTGATATCACATTTTCTTTAGTTTGGAAAGTTTCCACAAAGCATATGTTCTCATACTTTCCTTTAAAGGTACACTTTCAGGTCATTTTAGATTTTGTAAAATCTAGGGGGCAGGGTTGTATAAGCAAACACTAGAAGAAATGTTTTAATGAAATTTATTTTAAAACAGTGACTAGAAACAGTTTACTTTGAAATACTTCAGGGAAGCGTTATTCATTTTAAACCCAAATATTCCAGCATCCTGCTAATGTACAGTGTGAATATTAAAAATGAAATTGACTACAAGTACACTATAAACAAAAGTGAATTGACCAATATATTGCAGTTATCCAAGCTGACAGGCATATTTCTTTTTAAATATTTGAAATATGTTATACATGTGAGTTATGGTGAGGTTGAATATTTTTCCTTCTGTGTAATGACAGAAAAAATATTTGGAATATAATGATTTTAAGCTATAGATGCAAATTGGTTTTCTCCATAGTTGTGGATTATTCCTCTTACTGTGCAGCAAGTTACAGCCACATGAGGCTCCTAGTCAGATTGGGACTGATCGTTAGCTATAATATCTGTTTAGCTCAGCATGTCCTAGAATAAAGGATAGATAGAAAAAACGTGTGGAGTTTTTTGTAGGTAAGTAAAGAATTTTAAGATCACAAAATGATTTGTAATTATGTTGCTGCCTGTTCATATCAATAGCAAATATTCCTGAATTTTGTGCAGTGGGTGGGGAACAGCAGTAAACTATGTAAAATTCCTGGACAAAATACTTTAAAGTGAAGTTAAGATTAATGGTACATGTCAATAATTTAAAGGTAAAAATTCTTAAAAGAACATGGTATAGAAGTAAATATATAAAGTCAGGCTAATTCTAAATTTAGATTAGATGTACAAGAAGCTGTAACATTTGTAAGTATAAACATTCACATCGATGGTAGACAAATTACCTTAATTCTGCCCCATAGAGATGCCAGCCTGCTACAGTCCCATCTTTTTGGTTGAAATATTGAAAATGTGCACAATTTTTCTTACATTTTCACTACAATATATCAAAAAGTTGGACTTTTTGTATTTGAGTAAATCCCTCTATTTTTAGGGTGTCATAATTCAGGAATCCTTTTCCAATTCATTTCAAATTTGTAAAATATAATATTTGTACCTTTTTGTTTCCAGAGCTCACTTACCAATTCTGAGGTTGATATGACTTTGTGGATTTTAGAGCAAGGGCTAAAATTGAGTGTATAATGGATACTCTGTTGCAACCTTAAGTATGAAGTGGCTACTTAAAATCCACCAAAATTTCAGGCTACCTTCTCTGCCCACCCCAACAATTCTTCCCACTACCCTATTAGCCACCACTTTCCTGGCTGTAGAAAACTGGGGAGTAGACTTCCCTCCTTGGTTCCTGATCGAGCAGGGCTGGGCAAACTTTTTGGCCCAAGGGCCACATCTGGGTATGGAAATTGTATGGCGGGCCATGAATGCTCACAAAATTGGGGGTTGGGGTGAGGGCTCTGGGGTGGGGCCAGAAATGAGTTCAGGGTGCAGGAGGGGGCTCTGGGCTGGGGCAGAGGTTGGGTGCGGGGGGTGGGTGTGAGGGCTCTGGCTGAGGGTACAGGCTCTGGGGTGGAGCTGGGGATGAGGGGTTGGAGGTGCAGGAGGGTGCTCTGGGTGGGGACCAAGGGGTTCGGAGGATGGGAGGGGGATCAGGGCTGGGGCAGGGAGTCAGGGCACGGGAGGGAGTCAGGGGTGCAGGCTCCAGGTGGCGCTTACCTCAAGTAGCTCCCAGAAGCAGCGGCATGTCCACCTTCCGGCTCTTATGCAGAGGCGCAACCAGGCGGCTCGGCACACTGCCCCCACCCCAAGTGCTGCTCCCGTGGTTCCCAGCCAATGGGAGCTGCGGGAGCAGCACTTGGGATGGGGGCAGTGTGCGAAGCCCCCTAGCCACCCCTATGTGTAGGAGCTGGAGGGGGGACATGCCGCTGCTTCCGGGAGCCACACGGAGCGGGGCAAACCCCCATCTGGAGCACCGGAGCAGGGCAAGTCCCAGACCCTGCTGCCTGGCAGGAGCTTGAGGGCCAGATTAAAACATCTGAAGGGCCTGATGCCGTCCCCAGGCCGTATTTTGCCCACCCCTGTCATAAGGAGACTTTCCTTTCTCTCTTCTCTTGGTTGAGGGCCACTCTCTCCATTCAGCCATTCTGAGACCCCCGCCCCCCACAACCATGCTTCTTGTATTACAGAGGATAGGGGTCTCCAGAGCTGTTTCTCCCCACTGTAAATGTGGGAGAAGAGGAACTCTCTGGGGCAACTTGCTGCAGCCTCCCATCTAAATAGGGGAATGTCTGGTCCAAAATACCAGCGTCCCTGTGTGCAGAGCTCATTGTCCACATTGTTGTGAAACAATTTATGACTGTTCTCAGACAGAGGGATGGAAGCTCTACCAGCACATTCAGTAGTGTGGGAGATGGAGCGGTAATGTAACATGCTGCTACTGGTGGACCTCTGAAGCCAGTGCTGCAGGGTTTCACATTAGGAGGTCCACACAAACTGAGTCCTGGTGCTCCACGAATCTTGCCGTAGCTTACTGGTGGGTTCCAGGGAATTGACACTGCACTTTTAAAAAAGTTGAAGCTTTTAACATATGACACAATAGGTTGTGCGTTAAGGGTTTGCATATCTATAAGTTTGCGTTTCCAGCTTGATGTCACCCAATCTCATCCTGACATGACTTGAACCAGGTATTTCATGTTACTTTCAGGTCCTACAGACACAGCTGGATACCCTGCTTGAAGGACAGGAGAGTATTAAGAGTTGCAGCAACTTTACAGCCCAAGCACTCAACCATGGCACTGAAACTGAAGTTTTACTGGTTAAGAAGCAAATGAGTGACAAGCTGAATGAGCTGGCTGACCAGGACTTCCCACTGCAGCCCCGTGAAAATGACCAGCTGGACTTCATAGTAGAAACAGAAGGACTGAAGAAATCCATTCACAACCTGGGTACTATTTTAACCACTAATGCTGTAGCATCTGAAACAGTTGCCACAGGTGAGGGGCTGAGGCAAACTGTGATTGGACAGCCTATGTCAGTTACCATAACAACCAAGGACAAAGATGGAGAGCTCTGTAAATCTGGGAATGCTTACCTCACTGCTGAACTGAGCACACCTGATGGGAGTGTGGCGGATGGAGAAATACTTGACAATAAAAACGGCACTTATGAATTTTTGTATACTGTTCAGAAAGAAGGGGACTTTACTCTCTCACTGAGACTTTATGATCAGCATATCAGGGGCAGTCCATTTAAACTTAAAGTGATCAGATCAGCAGACGTGTCCCCTACTACCGAAGGAGTTAAGAGGCGTGTTAAGTCTCCTGGCAGTGGCCATGTGAAGCAGAAAGCTGTGAAAAGACCAGCTAGTATGTACAGCACTGGCAAAAGAAAAGAGAATCCTATTGAAGATGACTTGATCTTCAGAGTGGGTAAGGAAATTATCTTCTATCTATTGGTACTAGGATCATGGCATTCAAATTGTAATTAAGGACCCTTTAGGAAAACTGGGTAAAAAGCTAGTTTTAAATTATTGTCAACACACAAGTGAAATTTAATGCTGGTCAGGTCTAGGCTTTTGAAGTTGTTAGAATAGTAAATGAGGAGTTACATGGGATTTCATTCCATATGTCCCAAAGTGATGTAAGTGGGATTTGAGGTTTAAAGGCAGGAGGTTATAATTCTACAGGATAGAACACTTGGGGCCAGATTTTTTGAATTCTCTCAGTGCCTAACTCCCACTGGCACCTAAATATCTTTAAAAATCTGTCCCTTCCAAGTTCTCCTTAAAACAGGGCTGAGTAGCAAATTCTTTTTCAGAATATTTGAAGAATAATTCCCCTCTTTCAAAATGGCTTCTATCTTCTATTGTTATCAATAGGGCTGAAATTAAATCGGGGTCGGCAACCTTTCAGAAGTGGTGTGCTGAGTCTTCATTTATTCACTCTAATTTAAGGTTTCGCGTGCCAGTAATACATTTTAACATTTTTAGAAGGTCTCTTTCTATAAGTCTATAATATATAATTAAACTACTGTTATATGTAAAGTAAATAAGGTTTTTAAAATGTTTAAGAAGCTTCATTTAAAATTAAATTAAAATGCAGAGCCCTCCAGACTGGTGGCCAGGACCCGGTCAGTGTGAGTGCCGCTGAAAATCAGCTTGCCATAGGTTGCCTACCCCTGATCTAAATACTGTTTTCCGTTTACATGTCCTTCTCAAAAGACAGTTACTATCTAGCCAAAGCCTCAATTTGCCTTCTCCTCACAATGTTCCTTTCCACCTCCTGACACCAAAGGAGGCTGCCATGTTCTGTGCAGGAAGCTTAACTCTCTCCTTCCTTCTTCTTTTCCCCCCCCTCCCCCCCCAACTGAGAACAATGGAAGGTAGTGGTTATTTTGAAGGAGGGCGTACTAACTGAGGTCAGTCTATGGCCCCTGTTCCACTGTATACAATGAGATACGGTAACCTTTTGGGAGGACAAGTCTGTCTTCATGATTTTTTTTTCTGAAATAGAAGAGTTTATTCTTCAGCCTCTGCTGACCAGATTAACTTCAAGCTATGAAAAATGGCAAAAAAAAAAAAATTATCATTAACCCTAATTTCCTCTCTCCCACCCCCCCCAAAAACCAAAAACAAAAAACCCCAAAACCAAACCAACAACTAGCCATTGCATCAGATCTGCAGGAAGGAGAAAAGCTTTTGATTCGAGGGAGAAATGTGATGTGTGTCTAATAGGGCAGTAGAAACTGTCTTGTGTATGAGCAGGGAAAATGAGATGCCAGAAGGAAGGGAAAGCTGGGGTGTATGAGCAGGAGAATATAGGGTGCAGGAGAGGAGAAAACTCTGGAAGGAGGACAAAATTGATGTGTACACTGGCTGTTTCATGCTGCTCCAGAACAGTGTAAGCACCCAGAGTGTACTGCTGAATTTGGCCCCAAAAGTTAAAATTTAAGATTGATATTACATATCTTCAGAACATTAGAAATAGCACATGGTAATATTCTCTTTGGTTTTCTTGTTTGTTGTTATTGTATAAAAATGTTAATATTGTTTAAAAAGGGAAATGTTGAGACAAAAACTGTTAAAATGGGACTGTTTGAGAATATATATCATGATTTAGGATAAAGTACACCTCTACCCCGATATAATGCTGTCCTCGGGAGCCAAAAAATCTTACCGCGTTATAGGTGAAACTGCGTTATATAGAACTTGCGTTGATCTGCCGGAGTGTGCAGCCCCGCCCCCCCGGAGCACTGTTTTACTGCGTTATATCCGAATTCGTGTTATATCGGGTCGCGTTATATCGGGGTAGAGGTGTACGTTACAACCTTAACTATTACTTAACCTTGCTATAGTGACACCATGCAGTAACCACGTGATTACAAGTATGGTCTCAGATTAAACATCTTTGTTAAAATGTCTCTCACATGGTAAGTAGTGGAAAGAGAAAAGAAAAGACTCCTATGTGTCTTTAAAATGTTTTTAACTAATCTGGGACTACAAAAGCTAAATGCCTTCATGAAATACTAGCTGTATATGATTATGTCACTACAGGGCAGAGTTAAAGTTGTTTGGAAATGTGCAGTTAAGACATCTATACCTTAACATAGTTGGACTAATATTATTTTTTTTTTAGTTTAACCTTATCTCTGAATTCCTGGGCTTACAATGCTTGTTTTGGAAATAAATACATCATCTCAGTCTCATTTACAATTACTCTGTCTTAATTCTTAATTCGTCTTTAATATAGTGCCTGCGACTATAACAACTCACTAACTAAAAAGGCCTATAAATTATTTTACTGTATCTTAAAATAATTAAATCTATAAATTTCCCTAGGACTTGGGGAGGGGAAAAACGAGCAAGATTACAATATTTAAAAAATCAGGTCTACAGAGGTTCATGTATGGAATTTGCTAACAAGACAACATGCTGGCTTTGCCAGTCACTGAAGAATGATTGAACAAATGGTAAAGACCAGAATACGTTAAGAATTGTGTTGGACATACAATCACAAATGGTTTCTTTGTGCATGTGATTATCCACATCCGTTTGATTTCCGTATGTAATCTATCTGTATTTTTAATATGTTCATTACCATAGTACCTAGGTCCATTTTCAGACAGAGAATGTTAATTTTACCTAACAATCACCAGCCTTTCCTAAAGGGAGGGTAAAGAAACAGACCAGTATATTGCATTGTGAAATAATTGGCCCTGTGAATATAACAGATTCAATATATATATTAATGAGTCTTTTCGGGGAGAGGACGGTGCTCAGTTTTATTGGCAATAACATTTGTTCTTATGGGGCATGCAGTCTCAGAAAACTGGAAACGAGATATAGAGCCCTTCACGTTTAGGTCACTGGTTCAAATTCAGCCCACTTCAGTAGTGGCCAAACTTTGTATCCTGTTGACTGTTTGGCCTGAATGAAATGCTTCCTATTGGATGTTCTCCAGTTTCTAGTGGGCATGTATCCTTCTCACAAAAAATACTACCACACCCAGCACCAATGCAACTCTTACTAGTAGTCTCATCAGAGAAATTGGTCATTGAAAGGGCTGTGGAGATTAAACCTCCCCCCTCCCACCCCATCTAGGCTGTGTCTACACTAGATAATTACAGGATCTGTAATTCTCCACCAATGCAGTTCCATTGGTGGTAGCAACAACGGACGGGTTAGTGTAGACATGTCTCAGACATTTTTAACAGTCATCTAGCCCTACTCGCAGTAAGGTTAAAAAACACAATGGCAGAAGTTTCTCACTGTCACCACTGTTGCAGCTGTGTCCTAACTTTTCTAGAGCACACGACCCTAGGGATGTCCCTCTGGATCAGTGTTGAGGCCTAATAGTGTGGCAACATAAGGAAAGCTTGCAAAGCTGCTATCAGAGATGTGCCAGTTCTGAGAATAAACAGGGGACCTCTGACAGATATGGTAACAATCTGACCTCTTTCATGAGCACTAGTTTCTCTGTTGCTCATGCGTGCATGCACACAGAGGGAAGGCCAAATTCATCCCTGATGTAAGGCAGTAGATTTACCCAGGGAAGAATTTGGCCAATCCTTAGAATGAATTATTTTCTAGAGTGTCAGATAAGCTTAATATGTTTTTAAAAATACTAAAATAGATAATACCTTGAAAATAATTTTTAAGAGATTTGGATTGATTGATTGATTTTTTTTAATCTCTGTAGATTGACATTTCTACCTGTAGTGTCTGTTAGCACTGCAGCATATCTTGGTTCAAGTGAGCAGCTTGTACCATGAACCTGATATCTGGTTGGATTGCAATTCATGGGACAGTCCCAATTTTTCACAGCCCTATCTGTATACTACAAGCCTCGCTTATAAAACAAGCCCAAATGTATTTTGAAAGTTGAAGCACAGCTTCATACTGTTATAACAAAAACAACATAATGTGATGTTTTGTTTTTGTTTTGATTGCTTGAAAAAATAAATTTAGAACTTGAAGCTTTGTCTACTGACATTGGAGTTTCCCCCACTGGGATACATGGGTCACTTCATCCCATTCTGTGGAGAATTTATATCTATTTATTTAACAGAATAGCTCTTCCAGATAAAGAATCTATGGAGAAGTAGCTGCCTTGCTGACCAGTGGACTATGTAGTGTGTACTATATGTGCACAGTCCATTAGAGAGCTCCAAAACAACATAAGTACTGACTGAATGGTCTTGCAGTCACAACTCAATGGCCTTAATTAATGAGCATATCTAAAGTTTTACCTACTATTTTGATTTGCAGCCCCATTAATCTAAGAATTTAAAAAACTTATGTTTCAGTCTCAAATTCCAAACTCATTTGAAAATTCTGAATTTTATCTAGTTGTGATTGAAAAGAAGTTTTGCATGGTTTTTAATAAAACCATATATCCATTTCTTGAATTCATTAAGAGGGAAAAGCTTCGTGTAAACCCTTTGACAATCCTGGGTTGAGTTTGGGGTTTGTAATTTAAAACTGGGCAAGTTTAGCAGAGTTCTGGCTTTTGTGGCCAAAGGTTCATACAGCTCTGTTGGAGAACCATAATGGAGCATGTGGATATTTGTTTACAACCAGGATTTGAATTTTTTTATACACAAGAAAACTCATCAAAATCTGGTAGGAGAGTGCTTTTGTGCTGGCCATTAACTTAATACAAATGTGGTATTAATTAACGCACTGTCCATGGGACGTTGCACGTGAAATTTCTTGCTAATTTTCTATGTCCATGGATTAGCTTGCTTTAGAAACATGTACACATTTTAGTGTTCTAAACGCTACAGAGTGCAAAAATTCTTAAAATATAAAAACATTATTTTAGCAAATATGTAATTCTATTGTAAATCCCTTACCAGATAACACTAATGGGAAGTGGAACTTGCTACATTACAGCAATGAAAACCAGTGAGCATATTACTAGCATTGTAA